CATCACCACCCACCGCCAACTCTTGGGCTACTCTTTTACCAACGTTTTATTCCTACGTAATGGAGTTGCAGTACTAAACTTGCAGTTTGTTTTTGTTGCTGCTCTGTGAAGAAAGCTAGTAAGCAGTTATTAAAATAAATCTGAAATACATATTTACGTTTCGTGCCTGCTCATTAATCGTAGAGTTTACGACGTATTTTCAACATAGATTGAAATGTATTCGAAACTTTGTTATTCCATTGTGCAAGTAAAAATTTATAATTTCAAATAAATATAGTGTATTCTTAACGTACACATAAAAGGTTTGCTGCTATTATGAAACGTGCTGCACTTTTTTAAATTAATAAAACTGAAGTTTTTTTGTTTTTTAAGATTCTTCTCTCGAATTCGAAGAACCCAATGTCCAACCTGGACAACAGACGGCGAATTCACATAATTTCTTTTTAATTTCCTTTTCTTATTCCAAGGACGAATCTTCAAATCGATTTTACTTCTCTTCTCCTTATTGGCGAGAAAATCTTGTGCGCGATAGGACAACGCTCGAGCTAAAGTTGTGAGACACAGTATTCAAGAGCGCGAGCCTGGAGACTATCGTATTGTTGCCGCAACAGTGGGGGTACAGAAGCTACAGTAGGAATTTCACTCCACAGCAAGAACCCTTCAACCCTCGATTCTTTAAAATCTCGTGGTTAAAGTAAAGAAAAGTCTGAATTATAAGATGTAGCAAATTTTGTACTAAAAGTCAGGAAAATTTCGATCGTCATCACTGAAGAAGGTAACTGCGTGAAATATTTTATATAAGAGCTTGGTGAAATATACATATAGTGATATACTGCTAAGATGAGGCGTCTAATAGCTTAGATAACTTCCTAATTGTACATATTTACATTCTATGAAACAGGTTGTTCATATCGTTTCTAACTAACAAATATCTAAACTAAAATAATCAGTTTAGGTTATAACACTCTTGATCTTGATGTTCATTAGCAGTGGTAAATGTTGTTAAAACACTCATACCAGTAGGTGTTGATTGTTAAGCAAGCAGTCTTTGCTTGTTAAGGAGAACAACTTTATTGATTTAGTATTACCATTAATTTAACTATTTTGCAACTGTTTGGATGACAGTAGTTTAACATTATGCAATTTATAACTTTTTTTTTATTGTGAGATTTGCTACGTCTTCTTTGTAGTCATGCAGTGATCGATTTAGTTTTAAAAATTACGACGATAAATGAAAAATTGTATTATTTTTTCAAAGTAAAAAGAAAATCGATTTTTTGAAACAGATAAATTAGTTTAGTTTAACTGTGATAAAGTTTTGAAACTATAACAATATAATATATCCTCTACGTTGTTACGTATTAGAATTTCGAATAGTCCGAAGCCGAATTAACTGATAATTTAAATTTAGTAGTTAAATTGTACTTT